GCTGAGGCAGGAGGATCGTTGCGAGTTCAAGACCAGCCTGGACTACAGAGTGAGCTCAAGGCCAGCCTGAACTGCACAGTGAGACCTTGTCTCAAAAAGACAAAAAGGAAAAAAAGGAAAAAAAAAAAAGAAGTAACACTCTACAAAGAGTAGACACTAAGATCAAAGTGGTTCGGAAGATACTCACAGAAGTCTTTTGCATCCCTCCTTCTTCAGGATGACGTCAGATCAATGCCGTCCTATCAAAAGCCTTCTTGATTTTAGGCCAGAAGAATTGAAGATAGCATTTTCTGATTGGTCCCAGGTGTGGGGGTTGTGTTCTGCGCATGCGGGTTTCCATAACTGACAGCTGATTGACCATTCCCTACTCTCCTACACTAGCAGAGGCTCGTGTGAGAAGATAGGAGACTAAGCATAGCACCCTGAAAAATAAATAAGAAAGAGCACCAAAGCAAAGAAGTTTGAGCACCAAAAATAGAGGAGAGTAACTGAACATAACTCATGGAATAAAATAGGAATCCATAGCTTTGTAATCCCAGCACTGTGGGAGGCTGATCCAGGAGGATCGCAAATTCAAGGGCTGCTTGGGCTACATAGTGAGATCTTGTCTTTAAAAAAAAAAAAGTATCGCCTCACAAAGTTACTATCTGCAAAGGGGACAGGAGTAATGTGGCGGTGGAGAGGACTGGCAGAATCCTGAATCCTGTGACCTGAGCAAATATGAGTATCATAGTGCCTGCCATCATGACTACGGCTTCCAGTCAGGGACACACAGCATCACGTCAGTGGTTTTGCTGCCAAAGAATCTAACCACATGGAAACAACAGACAAACACGTGGAGGATAGGTGACTCAGGAACGGCCTTTAGTCTGCAGGGAAGTGTCAGGGTCAGGAGATATTGGAAAGATTGAAACTGGAAGATAAGAATTTTCCTTTCCTGACTCTGTGTGTGTGTGTGTGTGTGTGTGTGTGGTGTGTGGTGTGTTGTGTGTGTGTTTTACCAGGGGTTGAACCAGGGCCTTTGCACTGAGCTACATCCGTACCTCATTTTAAAATTTTTATTTTGAGACAAGTTCTCACTAAATCGCCAAGTTTCCCAAGCTAGGCTTGAACTTGTAATCTTCCTGCCTCAGCCTCCCAGAATGCTATGATTATGGGTGTACACCATCACACCTGGCTCGTGACTGTTTCAAAGTTAAGAAAAATATTATATTTTCAAAGAGTAAAAAGGTCTTCCATGGCAAACAAATATCTTAAGCAAACTCAAAAGATAAGGGACGCCAGGTGTGGTGGCACACGCCCGTGATTCCAGCACTCTGGAGGCTGAGGCAGGAACATTGCAAGTTACACACCAGCCTGGGCACCTTACCAGTGTAGGAAGACCTTGTTTCAAAATTTTAAAACAGAGGAGCTAGAGATATAGCTCAGTGTGAAAGCCCTGGGTTCAATCTCCAATACT